ATGCATACGCCATGCCGTGTTCGTTTTGTATTTACAACCAGGAAAAGTGCTTTCGTTGAAATAAATTGCATTTCATGCCTGGGTTTAAAAGCGCTTCTTCTATTAATGCAAATGGAGAGCCATCTAAAAATAATTAACTAATAATATTTTTTTAATCTGTTGGTTGAATTATGTATTTTTCAAATGTATGAGACTTTCAAATTCATTAAAGCATCCATTTCATACACAGAAAAATATAACCGCGAAGCTTCCGGAATCTCTTTCTTCTGCCACGCTCCAGGCATTCGCTCCGGTTTTTCGACGGTGATTACTCATTTATGTGAGATGCTTGTATCATTTCATATTCATGGTTTATTGTTCCTTTTTGTGACAACTTGAAGAGATTCAAGGAGTCTCAATACAATCGGCTTCAGAATAGCTGTAGAATGCAAAGAAACTCCCACCATTTTTTTAAATAATCTTCTGGGGAGCATGGGGCTGTCCCCGGACGCGAAATTTTTTTTCCCACTTGCCCAGTTCGGACCACACGCGAATCAGCCGCACTTCATTCACTCGTCTTCCTCGAAGCAGACAATGCTAAATGAGATACCACTATCCCTAACCCTAACCCGTAACCCGGTACCCGAACCGAGACCCGAACTATATCCAACCCATATAGTCATATACGAACCATATATTACAAACACTATCTATGGTGCGTCCGGATCTCAAGTGGGGAAAAGGAATTCGCTCCCAGACCCCCCTAGTGCTGCAGCGAGCTCCTGCGGTGCTTGCTTTGCTAGCTCTGTCTCGCAGGATGCGCAAACACCCTTGTGCAATTCGATTATGCGCGTTTTTTCCCCAAACTGGCCATTTACTCGTTGTCTAATTTCCCTCAGAAGAAAACCTGCATTAATACTGTTGCGTATATTCTGTTGGGGCATAATCGTTCGATTTCTTAATATTTCGTTTATTTAGTGACAGAAGTTTGGGAAAGGCCAAGATCCTTTAAGGCTTATTTGGAACGTTGTTACTAGCCTATCAATGCGCCCAGCGGCTGTCATTATTTAGCTCTGCTAAATGGGTGAGACTAGCATACGTATAATTAACTTCATATGAGGCTAAACGCGCCCCGTCGTTTTCGCGGCTAACGGCTGGGGGTCGTTCTAACTGCACTGTACACGACAGCTGATTGCATCAAGAGTTAATATATACCTAGAGTGTACAACGGAAAAAACAGGAAAAATTAGTGCTATTTTACGAGCAACATTGTATTCTACTTTGCCTGCGAGTCTAGAATAATTTATGGTATATATGCTTAGGGGCAGAATTGTCTTTGCCTCTCTAAAAACAAGACCAACACTTGTCAATGACGATACTCCTAGGCTGAAGATATTGCTCACTAAACCTCCCCTCCCACATGCGCTCAAGCCGCGCTCGTACGCCCGGGTAGCTCACCAACGCTACACGCCCTAAGGCGTTGCTTCGTGAAAGTGCGGATATTTCCGTGATGACTTTTATGACATGAAGCGTGATTCGGTTATTAGGTGATTTCGGTGGGGCATGGCCTATGCCTTATCTCCCATTATCTATTTCCTAGCCTGGCTAATGCCCATCATGATGGAGCCTGCGCAATGTGTTTCTTAATTAAGCTCTACACGGCACCAGCTTAACTAATATTGCGTGTAGTAAGAGGTACCAAATTTGGGCATGGTGACATCAATTATGTAGTGCTCCAAGCGGTGACGGAAATGGATAGCCAAAATGCTTAGGGGCGTTAGGGGGTTGGCTGATCTTATGTGGATTCGAGGCGCACGTGAGGCCTGGGCGAGGGAAGTGTACGAGTCCAATATCTCTGCCGTAGAGTATCGTATTGACAAGCGGTTGGTCTTGCTTTTTTAATTTAGAAGAGCGAAAGAATTTCTGCTTAATGCAATACCATAGAAATTATTCTAGACTCGGCAGGCCAAAGTAAATAATCATGTCGTGAAATAGCACCATTTTCGCCGTTTTTTCCGTTGTACACTCTAAGTATTATTTAGCTCTGATTGCTTGCTGGTAAGGCTGAGACTTCAGTAGAACCGTGTTTGTAGTGCAGGCCATTTCAGGCGACATAGAGTACTACACTTCTGACTGGTACTGTGTTGAGCTTTCACTTTTCATATTGCCGAGTTAGCGCTTGAAAAAGGCAGAATTTCCAATAATTTTGAGTCGTTTGACTCAAAAAGCATGGCCTAAGCAACTTCTTTGCTTCCGTTCGAA